AAAAAAAAAAAAAAAAAAAAAACTGGAACAAACGTAAAAATTGATGAGAGTTTACTTGTTCGTAGTGGAATGGTATAAAACATGGTATTTGTGTGAATGGCTTGGCCTAGCCTGCGAAACAGTTTCGCGCTCGTCCGCTTGCTTTGCTCCCCGAAATATTTTTTTCCGTCCTTGCCGGGTTCCTGTTTAATTTGCAGGCCAGGCCCGACCTTAAATGACAACCTTGGGTATTGTAAATTCTACAGCTAACACATGATATGATCCAAACGAAATCAGCAAGAGCCTAAAGCATTCCTTCTCCGTAAGAAGAAGACTTATTTACCAGACCACCTACTTAGACATGATATTAATAACAATATAATAGATTTAATCAAAATCTTTCAAGTCGATGAATATTCACTAACTTTAATACCTTTACTGCTGCTTCAGTCCACGTAAACGAGTATAACTAAAACAGTTTATTCCAAATTCTGTTACTTTCTTGCATGTAAAATATTGTTCCGTTTATTTTTGCTGTGTATTTTCTTAGATACGGAAACTTTCTATAGGGTCAACCCTCTGGCAGTGTCTTGTCCTTCTTTTCATATACTACTTTTTTTTCAATAATGAATAAAGTATAATTATTATCAGTTCAGAGCAAATGGAAAGGATATACCAACGATCAGAGAGGCTTAGAATAAGAAAGAAGATCTTTAAGAAAATTTTATTTGATATGGAAGTATTGCTAAGGTTAAAAATAGCTGTGTTATATTAATGGCTTTGCTTTTTCACATCATGGGTGTAATGGCATTACTAGGTTGCCCCCTCGCCCCTCACCCCACCCCACCTTCACAATGGGAATGTAATTAAAAACCGACAGAAGAAAGTTCTACTGGAGGACTAAAGCCTTAATTAATTTTTTTTTTTGAAAAATGGCAAAAGAAAACATCCCACGCAAAAGAATGGAGGATTGTCCTCGAATATATAATGAGGAAAAAGTAAGCAGGTGAAAGTTGTGCTCGCGGAAAAGCAACGTGTATTTCGGCCATTGGAAAGGAAACAGCCGGCGGGTCCAGGCCAGCAAAGACCTCTGGGACTACCGGCCTCTTCCTCGAACAAAAGAACATCTAAGAGTCAAGATGGCGGAATCACTCGTGAATGAAACTGTGGCGAATCTTTCGGCGGCAGTAAACGAAACGGCCAAGAATGCCACTGGAAGAGCCGCGGCAACGCCGGAAGGAATGTTTGTGGCGTATTCTAGTTTGGTTTTGATGGCCCTTTTACCAATATTTTTTGGTTCTTTTCGCTCAGTCAAGTATCTCATTGAACAGAAGGTTCGTTGATCACAATTTTTTTTTACTTCTCTGGCGTTTATTGAGTTGTTGTTTTGTAGATTTACTTCCTAATATATTCTTAGAGAAGTCGTTTGTTACAAAGTGACTAACCAGAATTCTGGCAGTTTACTTCAGTTTAAACCAGAAGTGCTTTAGTTTCGTAGACGTGTACATTGAGTTGTAAGGCTAGTTTCTAAAGTGTTTTTTTCAGTCTCTCGCGTGGGTGAAAGGAACACGCTAATCGATTTCCGCTAATCACCAGTAGCAGATTCATAGCTAAATGTCGTTTCAAATGTTCCCCGATCGTAGTAAATCACAACAGTTGGTCATAAACAAACATTTTCGCTTTTTACTTTCAACAAACTGTGGTGATTCAATTGCTCTGAGTTATTAAGCTTAACTTGTATAATTTTTTATTGTAGTATAATTTGTTAGTTTACCAATTATTGTATGCCTAGTGGAAGGCATGGCGATGTAATGGTTATGACATCACTCCCAGTAGTCATGGCTTTAGGCAGACCTGTGATATGGTGATGTTCTTGGACACTGAGCCACTGTACATGTACCCTAATTGTGCTGTCACTTACATTAGCCATATATACAGTCTGTAGGTAGTGGCAAATCATCAGCAGCAACCTGTCAATGTACCTCGATACATGAAGCTTACAATAGACTAGAATCACACCAGGAATTCTCACCAACTCGTTAACATTGGTATCCCAAATTTTCAAATCCTCATTTTTTTAACCTCCCAGTTGTTCAGCATTTTCTTGCTCCCTGGGCAAAACTGTGACAGAAATTTATAGCCAGCTTCTCAAACTCCTGCATTTTCTGTAACATATCAATCAATTCGAAGAGCATTTGTATCCCACTTCCTCCAGACACATCCCTGGATATTTGACTTTACTGAAAATGTCTGACCAAATTCCTTGCTACTATTGGCAGTAATATCTTGATAACATGTTTGAAATGTTCTTTTATGGGAGCAAGCAGCTCCTCACCTAATGTGTGTTTCTACCAAGGCAAAAAATGATAATCTTACAAAACAGAGAGTGAATCAGGGAATGATAAGAGAGGTGGCCCTTGTCAGAACATCTGTGAATTATGGAATCCATAAGCTTATGGTCGCTCACCAGCAGCCGGCCACTGATCAGTGCAGGGGTTTCATGAATGTTTTCAGCAACAGGGAAACTTGTTTTCACAGGCAGGGAAAACTTTTTGAACTGAACTTGTTGATAAGAAAAATGGTCCTCCAGATAGTCAAACCAGGCAGGCAAAATCATCCTCACAGTTGGTCAATTTGCCTGGTGCCCTGCACTTAATGAAATCTCTGTCAGAGACCCTTTTCCTAACATCTATAATATCTACTAACAAACCTTTTGTCAATAATCAAGTACCTGAGTAGGTGGGCCTCACTTTGGTTCAAATTTACCAACACTGGTGCCAACCTTGAACCAGATGCCTGGGATAATGCCCCAAGTGGGATGAGTGCTCATGGAATGGACTGACAAATGTACAGTCTCTTTTGACAATGTAGGGTCTCTTTTTAGTGACACTTTTTCAACCTCCTCACCCAGTAATGTACATTTTATACATGGAGTGATCAATTTATATAGATATTTTATTCCTTTTACATGTTGACTGTCACATTACGGTTATTTAAATTTGCAAAATAATCTATATACATGTACCTACATGTATGTCTTTGCAGAAGTCTGGTGAACAGCCCGAAAGCATGACATCAAAAGATGCTGCCATGTTTCCCATCATTGCCAGTTGTACCCTTCTGGGTCTTTATATCTTTTTTAAGGTGAGTCTTTGTGTACTTAGTGAAGATTAAACAACTCTGTGAAGCAGAAAGGATGGCTACTACCAAGATTCTATGATAAGATTCCAAGATTCCAAGATTCCATGTTAACCAGTTTTAGTCAGAGTAAACTGATGTCCAGGGCAATTCACATGCTGGTTTCCTTCCCTGTTCAAGAGACTCCTGATGTTTGATTTGAAAAAAAAATCCACACTTTTGAGTATAAAAGAATGATGGTTTAGATGACAAAAATAAGAAATTAAGGACACTCTTCTTGAGACATTTATTCCTCAACCCTCAAGACTATACAAGATCTTTGACTTGGTAAAAACTTGACAACTTGATAATTAATCCGCAAGAAACTGTTAAAAATAATACTTTTCTATGGCTGCATTGATTATACCAGACTATAAACCAGTATAGTCAAGGCAAAAACGGATGAACGTAATTTTTCTTCTTTGAACATGAAGCTCTAGAAAAAAACAATTAAGCATGCTATTATAATAATTTGAGAAGAGTGGTTTAACATGTACCTGGGTATCAAAATGACACATTCCTTTGCTTTCATTTGGTTGCTGAGGTAATTTAATTCTAGAACTTTCTTTTGACCAGACGTGGTTAAAATGTGTAACAACTACAGTAAGGTTGATGATACCATTTGAAAAGAGTTTCTTATTATGACTTTACTGTATATATATGTAATTTAATGGCAGTAGAAGTGAAAACTAAAGAAAATGTTTTAGTTGTTAGAAGCTCTACAATGTAAAGTGCCTGTAATTGTTGTAATAAAAATTGGGTTTTTGATCTACAGGGTGTAGTTGTTTTTTACATGTAAATTTCTTTTAGTTTCAGAATCGCTAAGATGCCTACATGTATATTTTGTAGCAGTGAAAATTAGGCTTTTGATCCAGTAGATTTTGTAGTAAATACCATCCTGTATACTTATATATATTTTTATAAATTATTCTGTTTTTATTTCCTCCACTACCATTTTAGCTGTTCAGCAAGGAATACATTAACTTGCTTCTCACAGTGTATTTCTTTGGTCTTGGTGTGTTGGCTGTCACACATCTGCTCAGGTAACTGATCAATATTAACAAATGTCTGCTAACAAGGTCATCAAACATGTTTTAATTAATATGGATGACATAAAAGAGAATAAGAGAAAACTTACAGTACATACCTCATATTTAAACAAATGGTCTTAGAGTTTTCCACCAGATGTATTTTTTTAGACTGTACATTTAATCAATGCAGAAGCCAAATCCCATAAGGAGAGGTGTTAATAAGAACATTGTGTTAGAAATAATGCCAATTTCTCTTTCTTATACTTTGGATCATAGTTAATAGAGGGGACTGGTTATGAAGCCCGGCAAACATCGAAGGAGCAAACGAAGGTGCCAAGATTTATGTTGGAAGGTCCACAACCATGCACAATCTTTTGTTTTCTGTTCATACACTATGCATGAATTACATAACCAACATATTTCTATTGGTTAGTTCCTCAGTATAGAGTAAACAACTATTATGTTTTGTGCACAGTCATGGCCAAAAAAGCAAACAAAAACATACAACAAAGAACTTTGTCAGGTTTCATAACCACCCCCCTCTATTAACTATGTCTGGATGAATTATTAAGGTATTAAAAAATGTACTTATAATATATATTATCCTTGCACCCTTTTCAGACCAAATGTTGAACTTTTGCTGCCAGCAGCATTTCCAAACAAGAACTATACTCTTGATCTAACAGAGGGAAAAGGTGACAAGAAGTCAGGTAATTCTGATACACTGCCATATTCATTGGATAAGTATACTATTAACAGGGTTCTCCCTAGCTTTCAGCACAACAGGTAAGGGACCTTTTCAAACCAGTAAAGCATTTGGTTAATGCTGGACGTTCTGCAAAGGATAAGTGACAATTTGAACTTATGCACCACGTTGGTTGAGCTAACGTCAGCGCTGTCCCTCTAAGTATAAAAATAATCTTCACACAATCAAGTTTTTTCTCTAGCCGTACTGACTGCTTGTGTTCTTCTGAATTGCCATGCTCTGATATTGCGGCCTTCCTGTAATGTGTACCGGGCGTAGTAGCATATTTCACATTTTTGCCTGTTTTAATTAATATGCTTTTTTTTACAAAGACAACAAAACATTCCATCGCCCTCTTTAAATGCCAGCCACCATACAATACTTTTACAGCAGAATACAATGTCATAAATGATCCAGTCATGCTTGAAAACATGGGGCTTTGATGGTAACTGCCTGCTCATTTCATTGGAAGATAGCGACTTCAGCTGTTTTTTGCACATAGTATATGAAGGTGTAAACCATGGGGTTGGCTACTACCAAAAGCGTCTTCCAGAATGCATAAATGCTGCTTTTCTGAAATACCAGACTGTTTAAATGTTTTTAATTCTGATGCTGCTTCCAATGGCATTTTGGCAGTGTGGTCTCTTTGGGTGGTAATTGGTTGTCATATTCCGGAGATGATGTGCTAACTGACTCAGACATTTCTACTGATTTATCCGTCAAGGGTGGTTCAGTTATTACTCGCTCTTCTGTTGATCGCAAAGGCGCATTTGCAGCTTCAGGCGACTGGTCATTCTCTAATCTGTCATTTCTTAAAACATACAGTACATCGCGCCTATCAAAAGTTCTCCATCGAAAAATTCATAATGTGAACGATACACCTTTAGGTTCAGAGGTTGAATAAAACAAAGTAAAATTTTGTTTAAAAGCATTTTATTCTGACTATGCCCTTTCCAAACTGCTTATAACGTAAAATGGTTCGTGTGATATCTTTGGTGTCATTTACTTGGCATATCACTGGAAAATCCGCTAGGCTACTGTATCTGCTACGAATCGCATTGCTACAAATCGCATTACTTCAAATTGCTGAATTCATGTTCTAATCATCTCAAATTCAGAACTTTCACGCTGTCAAAGGATTTTATTTTCAAGGCTTCTTTCAAACCATTGTCTGGAATACATTTCACATAGAATTTCATGTCCCCACATGTTTGCTATAAAGCCGGCAAATGTAGAGCTGTCAAGGCAGTTATTTCTGGCAATCGGCTGCTTTTTCAGCACTAGTGTGTAAGCTTTGTTTTGTTTAGCCCTAAAATGATTGTAAAGCTTACCTCCTACTCTTTGTGACTTCGTGACAACATTTGCATGTGCAGAGAACTGACGAATATCATGACATTTAGTAGAAAGCCCGCGAAAATCACTCTTACTTCGAAATTCGAAAGGTACCAGTCAGTGTCAACTAAATAAAGCACACATAGATCTATAACAGTGCACTGTTTCTTTTTTCATCTCAGTTACTACATGTATCTTGCCAGATTAGCTCATGGTAAATGCGTATTTTTTTGTGACTTCTGAGCGTTTGCAGGCGGTGATAAGTGCTCTTACAAGTGGTAAATTTTACAGGTTACCGCCTGACAAGGAGAACCCTGTGTTAATAGTTATGCCACATCAGGATGACTGGCTAAGATTTGCCTTTTCTTTAAGGTTCAAAGTTCCTAAATTATTATTATTTTTGTACTCTACACGGTTGGGTGAAAATGAGTGTAACCAAATTTTATGTTGTGGAATATTTACAAGTAAGGTACATGTAAGGTGGAGTGAGTTTACTTAACCCACAGAACAGAAACAATGGGTTTGTAATTATTATAATGGTTACTAATAAGCAATTTAGTGCAGGGTACACCAAAACAAATAGGAAAAATTAACCATTAAAAGTAGGGGGCTGATAAAAGTAGGAACTAATTAATGTAAAGTAGTAATGTACACAATCCCTTTATCTACATCACAGGTAAAAATCTACATCACAGGTAAAAATAAAAAAAACATTCTAATTCCCCCAGTTAGTAAAACAGCAAATTGAAATGACTCAGTTTGATTTTTGATTTTCTTTTTAGAAATTGTAAACTATGAGTTTGATAGAATAGACTTGCTTTGCCTTGCCATTTCTTCTGCTTTTGGAGTGTGGTATTTATGGAAGAAGGTGCGTAGTAATATTCGTTTAGTTTCTTATAGTAGTAAAAGTTGGGACTTGCTCTAATCAAACAATTTTTAAATCTAAGGATCAATTTAAATAAACTACAGACTGTACAATGTACGTGAAATGTGCAGACACACTTAAGACAATGATGTTTTTTTTTTTGCAAGTTACCTACAGTACTGTGACCTAGAGTTCAGTCAAGTTATCCTTGCATGCACAGACATGATTGTAGTGTGGTATTTGACTGTACATGTGGTATTTGACTGTACAATATCAAGTGACACTGATTCTGTTATATTGTTTTTTGTTCCTTTAGCACTGGATTGCCAATAACATATTTGGTTTGGCATTTTCTCTCAATGGAGTTGAACTTCTTCACTTGAACACAGTAACAACTGGCTGCATTCTTCTGGGAGGACTCTTTGTCTATGACATATTTTGGGTCAGTACAGTACATGTACCAGTGATACAATTCCTACAGCAACTTTTGGTGCTGTATTCCATAGAAAATGGCTTCACACAGTGTTCAGCTTGGGCTATTCAAGAAGAACCAGTTTGATGCCACAATGCCTCCTATTAAATTTAATTTGCAGTATAGATGTCAGGTGTGTGCACAAACCGTCATTTTGTGTACAAAATGTTCAATTAGCCATTTGTGAGATATTTTAGAGTCCAAAAATTTTGATGATGTGCTTATCGGCTGAATTAGTTGAACCAGATAGGAAAATATTTTAAAATTTTGATCTTAATTGCCATGTACGTACAGCATTTTGTCTGCCCTTGTTTTTGTGATCCTAAGTGAAAATATCTTCTTGTCCAACCTTTCTCTTTGTGATAAAACTTGCCCATCCACATCTGTTGTTTTAAAACAACACCTTGTGTTCATCATTTCTTTTGAACAACCCAGACCTGTGCACTTTTGTCATTTACATGTATGGTAAATTAATCTGCAAGCAACTAATATGCTATTGCTCTATCTCTGTTGCTTTCTTTTAACATTGGTCGAATTGATATTGCAGGTGTTTGGAACAGATGTTATGGTAACTGTTGCCAAGTCATTTGAAGCACCAATCAAATGTAAGCTGTACATGTACATATGTAATATGATTTTGATGCCACGGGTGCTGGGTAGGTAGGCCCCAGACTACTGGACACGACTTTACACGCTACTGTAATACAATATACAAAGCTATCTACATGTACATGTTAATGTACATACATGTATGTTTTGGCTCTTCGTTTTGGTTTTGGCACTCTTCTGAGGCTTGCTTATCTATTCCTAACAGTACTGGTAGTTCATAACGTGTGTTTATGTTCACAATATTGACACTTACAGTGTTAACTCAGCCTTAAGTCACTGATGTAATTTGCATTGGGCACGTAGACCCTGAACACCACAACTATGTGTAATATTTTCCCCATAACAAGCCCAAAACTTGTATGCAAGTTGTGAGAACTAAGGATGAGCATTTTGTAACTCCCCCAACTAATATTGAAGAAATGAATGGAGATCTGTAAGGAGAATTCATATACACTGTACATGTTCATTTGTACAGCATGTATGACTGAATTAATGCCCTGCTCATTTGCAGTGATTTTTCCAATGGATCTTCTTGAGAAAGGATTATCTGCATCCAACTTTGCCATGCTGGGCCTTGGAGACATTGTTATACCAGGTGAGTTAGGGTGAAAATAAGAAGAACATTAGCAGTATTTGGCAAATGTTTAAGAATCCTGACACTCTTACATGTATGCTCCTATCAGACTTCACGTGTCCCAACGTGGGTAAGACTGGCATGAAACCACTAGCAGTATTCCCACTCACCCTGGATGGGGTGCTAGTCCATCACAGTTTACACCCCCTCCCTCCCCCTTCCAAAGCTTTTTGTTATGTTGTCCTACATGTAGGTAGCAGTTTGCATGTATATCGATGAAGTACCATTTTATTCACCTGGGTGGAGAGAGACACTTCAAGACTTTAGAGTAACTGGATTGTTCAGCCACAGCAGCTCTAGAGCGGTTTGTCTCTAAGGTGTAAATCCATGGACTCATGAGAGCGAAGGATGCCAACAATATGTCATAACATATCCCAGAGTACGTGTACAGGTAGCTGTCCTGCTCCTTATCTGAATACACCTGTTCAGTTCAGTAGTTTATGTGCTGTACTATGACAAACGCTGAATGTATTTGCAGTTAGTGTACAATGTAAGTAAGAGAATAAACTGATTATGATCTGCAAAAGAGAAAACATGCAAATTTGAGTTATTGTTTTTTTTTTTCTTACTCAACAGGAATATTTATTGCACTTCTGTTAAGGTTTGACCACAGGTAGGTGTTATGTTTCTCATCATAGCAGTATAGCATCCTTTAATTACTAATTACATCGGTCAACATTTAGTTTCTCCTCGCAATACCAATCCGTTCTCAAATAGATATGGACATATTGTCTGAGAAATATCAACCGTTGAAAGAAAATAATAATAATAATAAGAGACAATATCTGACTTGTTAGCGCAGTTTTGATAAATGTACTGTACTTTGTCAAAACAACACTACACTGCACTTGGCTTTCAAGCGTTACTTAACCTTTTTTGGAACCAAATCAAAAGAAATGTGATTGTGTGTGATGTAATTTGCAGATGAAAGCTTAAACCACAGTTAGTACATGTATTATAAGAGATCTGTACTGTACATTTACAGACTGAAGGAGAAACAGTTTCACTGTGAAAATTAAGAGTTACATGTATTTTCTGAACCGTCCTACATTTGCGTTGTACAATGTATTGACGAAGGAATACAGGTAGGACACGTTTTCTCATCATGTTTTCGTCGACAGCAGCAAGAAAGACAAGGCCAGCCGGGTGTATTTCTACTCTGGCTTCATCGCTTACTTTGTGGGCCTGGTAATGACCGTTCTGGTGATGCACACTTTCAAAGCTGCTCAACCCGCCCTGCTGTATTTGGTGCCTGCCTGTCTAGGAACACCAATCACGTTGGCTTTGATCAGAGGAGAAATTTCAGAGTTGTTCAAGTGAGTTGAAAGTATTTTACTTTTCTATTTCCTTTCGTCTTTTGTCTCAGCTTGTTTAGAACTCCAAAATTGAAAGTAGGATTCAGTGTGTATCAACGGTTAAGCATGTAAAAGGAGTTCTGTTAACTTGGTGTTAATAAATCAAAGTGTTTAGGCTTGAAGGTTCTCACGACAAAAAAACGCACAGGGTCTTCTCTTAATGCAGTGTAAAATTCATGTTTCCAATTTTCTGTTATTGATTTTCATTATTTTAAACGTGATGTATCTGTGCATGTTGAAGTGGTTTTATAACGAGGCTAAAAGATAAAACATACGTGCATATAGTATCAGTTACATTGTTAGAGGCAGTAATTGAAATAGTAAACTAAAAGGATCCGTTTTCCGCTATAGTTTTTCACAATTTATTTTTTACGTTTTTTCCCAGTTATTATCGAAGGTTTCTTCCAAGCTTTAACTATCCACATGTTATACACTGTATAGCGACTGTTTTTGTTTAGCTGATTGAGATTAGCGAAACAAATCAGTGGCACAATCTTGATGTATAATTCTGAACAGAAGTGAACAAGCTTGTCTGGTCTACCGCAGGTATGAAGATAACCCGGAGAAAGATAAGAAAGAAAGCGAAAAGACTCAAGTAGAAGGCAGCGAAGATGTCAACGGCGACGCAAAGAAAAGCCAGTAAACGAACTGAACCCAAATAAATTATTATTGTCAGTTATTATAAAACGATAAAACTTAATTTTACCGCATACTGTAGAAAACTGTGCCTGTTATAAGCAAGATAACATTTGAAAGAGTCATTTGAGACCTTACTTATGCCGAAGATTTTACAACCTTAAATTTCAGAGGTTCGTCTCTTAATTCCTTGTACAAGGTATCCACTCAGTCGTAGAAAACTATTAAAACTGTGAAGTTAAAATCTTCTGCGTTATGTGGAGTGGCATTTGATCGTTCATCGCCTAATGTTATATTCTCTTACTTTGAGAGACGTCTTTACTATAGTTCCAAAGGAAGACAAGAGGGTAAAGAGAACAAGAGAGCCACGTATCTTTTCCTAGGGATTTTCAATCACCGTTTTCCAGGGTTATGTTAAATGTTACAGAAGTATATGTGGAAAGACCTCTGTTAGTCGACGCCTTGTTGGAATTGTCGAGACACTATTTTTTTCTCTGTGGCTATAGCGCAGTTTAGCAACTTACTTTTTGCGGTGTACAACGGTATCTTCACATTGAAGTAAACCTTCAAAGGCAAAAAATGACAGCAAAAGATTGAGACTGACAATGAGCAACGAACTTTGAAAAAACTTATGCGTGATGTTTCATCTCCTCTGAAGGGTCTGTGTCTTTTCTGGTGCAGCTTGTTGGCAAGTATTATTTATATTTAATTGCTATTCTAAGGGATTTTATTTTTTAGTTTAAACTGTGCGTATGGAAACGATGACTACAAAAAACTGACTTAATAAAAGAGTTCAAGTAAAAAGTATTTTTGTGAATTTTTATTTTATTAGCGACTGTTCTCTAACAGAGCATAATTCTATTCGCAGTCACTGTTTGAATCTACGAATCAAAGAGTCTGAAGTTCTGTTGTTAACCCCTTAGTGTGTGTGGCCGAGGCCATGACCGAGACCCGGGGCAGGGGGGG